CCCAGGGGCAGGTGCAGGCGGTGGGGATCCGCCCCGAGGCCCCAGCGCCGCAGCCCGCGCACAGAGATCGGTGTGGACAGAGGGATTCCGCAGGGTCTGACGCCAGGTGGTTTCGGGGAGCTCTTCGCGGCGCGGGGCGGCAAGGGCAGGGCCTGCCGAGGCTGTAACAGGAGACCTGCCCCACCCACGCTGCGCGAGGGTGCCCAGAGGGAAACCCCCTTGGGCCGGATTTCCTCTGCTCTCCGGGAAGCCAGCGGCTGCGCTCGGGCAAGAGAGCGTGCAGCGCCCTAGTTTGGCATCTTTCTCCTCTGGAGCTGCACAGGCTTCAGAAGCCTGTGCAGTCTCCGCCTGTGCTGCCGTCCTCACCGCGCCTCCCGGAAAAACGAGGTTCACCTGCCCCGAAGCCCATCCGTCCCAGGGCTGCTTCTAGGAGCTTTGATTGACCTCCCAGTTTTTCTCTCCAGCACCAACTTAAGGGGACCGGGTAGCCTTGGAGCCACCGGGCGCTCTGAAAGATGTTTGGACCCCAAGTCTCCCCCACTGCGACTATCCCTGGGCCTTTGTCCCAACCAGTCCCCCACCAGCTCGCTATTTCCTTCCCCTCTGAGTATTCAAGTCTCGCTGGTTCTTCAGGACTCGGATGGATGCCTCCCCTGGCTGTCCCGGCGCGGCCGACTGTCCCCACCTCTGACCGCGCTCAGCCTTACGCGGTCCACCTGGTCTCCGCAGCCAGGCGGACCTAGTCCACCCCAGAGCCCACGCCGCGCTCTAGCAGCCCGGAGATGTCCAGAGGCGGACCAACCATTTGTCAGATTCAGCTCGAATTTAATGGTATCAACATCCAAACTATAGAATCTAAATTTCATTTTTAAATGGAAACTTAAATTTTAGATTCCGTCTTTAATGAGCTCTAAAATGCCAATTCCTCATTTAAAGCCTTCCTACTTTGGAGGAATACCCCGTTTTTGTAGAATAACCATTTTTTTCATTCTCTTCTTTACCCGATATTTAAATGCTTTTGTGGTGCAGTGGAAACATCACCAGAAATGGGAAGTGGGACTCATTTTATGTGGTGTTCAGTTGGAATGAGAAGAGCTCAGTTGACCTTGGCCAACTCACTTTACATTTCTGACCATTAATTTAACTATAAACTGAAAGAGTTGGACTAGGTCATTTCAAAGGCCCTTTCTTCGTAAGAGGGTGGGAAGGAGGAAGAAAGAAAAGAAAAATGCTATGATTTTTTACTTCGATTAAAAAAAAAATGAAAAATCCTACCTCATCTTTGTTCTGTCCCCTTGAGGTACGCAAACCTTCAGGTATTTACAGACACACACACCTCCTTGTTCTCCCACACACAGACTTTCTTCCAGTTTTTTCTATTTGATCCCTCCATTAACGGCTCTCAAACATTAGAATCACCTGGGGAGTTTAAGAACGAAAATACCCAGGGCTCTCCCATATCATAGGTGATTAAATTGGTCTGGTCTATGACCCAGGCATCAGTATTTTAAGCTCCCTTCCTTTTCTAAAAATCTTCTGGGAAGCTTTCATTTATTTAAATACTGACTTCTCTTGCTCTTTGAGATTCTAATTAAGTAGATCTGGGGTCTGGATAGGAATCTTCATTTTAATCTCTCTCTCTCTCTCTCTCTCTCTCTCTCTCATCAAGGTCTGTATACTCTCAAAGAAGCAAGTATCATTGTTCTTTCCTCTAGTTTCTCAATTAGTTCTCCCTCTCCAGTGCATCCAGACCTGATATGCAGATGAACACCCGGGATTCTTGTTAAAATGCAGACTCTAACTTAGTAGATCTGGGTTAGAGGCTGAGATTTCTAATAAACCTCCAGGTGCTGCTGACTCTGCTAGTCTGAAGACCACACTTTAAGAAGATCTAGGAGTTATTTATTATTCATGGGATAAATATATTTTCCTTCAAGTTCCAGCTGCCTCGGTTCAATAAGCCATTCTCATCTCCTCCAGAAAGATTTCTGACTCCAGCTCTCCCTGGGCGCTCCTTTTTGTGAACTGTAAATGTTTAATAATTCACAGCCTGTTTCATGTGTAAGGCAGAGATTCTGGTGCTTGCCTGATCCCCATCTTTGGATGCCAAGGACACAGTGTTCCCCCAAACAGTCTCTGCTGATTGACTAGGAGATAATATTAGCTTGCATTCTTGGAGGACATAACATGTGCCAGACATCTTACTGTTTTATATACATCGTCTCCCTCAGCTACAACCATCCTCATTTTACAAAGAAAGAAATCAAGGCAAGTCTCCTGTTAAGCTCTATCTAGCACCACTGCCTATAGCGATACTACCCCCTAGGGGGTGTTTTTGAAATCTGCAGATGCTTTAATTGGTTATCCCAATGATGGGAGGAGGGGGCCACTGGCATTTAGTAGGGGTGCAGTGTGGTCAGGGATGCAGGATGTCTCCCCATGCACACGACTTTGCAGCACAATGATTGTGTCCCACATGGCTTTCACGGGTCAGACTGGACATTTGGGGCAGTTAAAATGTGCTTCTAATTACTTTAGAACTTTAACTCTTTTTTACATAAAAGCCTAAAATATTTTTGCATCATTTGAATATACACTGGTGTCAAACACAAAAAGAGTCTGGAGGCTTTACCAGAATGTCAGGCAATCAGGATGATGGATGCTAGGTTATCTGGAAAATGGGCTCCAGGAAGTCTGGTCACCTCAGATGGTCTGGATATATGAATTCTTCAGGGGGTAATCAGAGGGTTACATGGAGTTCTAGTGTATGGCCTGGTGTTGACATAAAACAACAATACACACGTACACATACATACATATATATACATACGTATATATACAACACACACGTACACATACATACATATATATACATACATATATACATACATACACACACACACATATATGCAGTGACACAGGACTAGAAAGTTCAAAAGTTTAAGTTCCCAGGCTAGTTATAACAAGAATAGAATCACTTCCTCATTTCTCAACCTACTTGATTTTAGTAATTTAGCAGCTTGACTATAGTGACTCCATTTTATTTCTTCATTTAATTCTCCACTGGATTTTCTATAAATGCAACCATAATCATGTGCCTCATAATGACATTTCGGTTTATGACGGACAGCATATATGCCCGTGGTCCCATTAGATTATAATGGGGCTGAAAAATTCCTATCACCTAGTGACATCATAGCTGTCTCAGCCTTCATAACGCATTACACAAATATTTACCATCGTTATGACTGCCTACAGTATTCAGTACAGTGACATACAATATAGGTTTATAGGCTAGGAGCTGTAGGGGAACCGAATGTCACCCCAAAATATGTCTACTTGGCATAAGGATTATTTTAGACTGGTTAATTTTAAGAAATGGCAGAGAGAAGCCCCATAAACCAAGTAAAAGTTACCCTTTGTAAAAGACATTTACATTTGTAAGGTAAATCTCCATTTGTAAGAGTGTCTCTCTCCCTGGTACCTGAAAGAGGGGTATGTCCTTATCTTTAGAATCTCTTATCCAAGCAAAAGACAAGGACTTAAATCTGCGTGACAATCTTACCCTTGTTCACTGTGCTTTTCCTGGTAACCTCCCATAACTGACTCCCCAACATCCTTCTGCTGAAGATGATATATAAGGTGATGACTTCAGCCATTTTGTCTATTCAGTTTTCCCTGGTCTCTCCCATGTATATAAGAGTTACACATGTTATAAAACTTTGGTTTTTCTCCTGTTAATCTGTCTTTTATTACAGGGATGTCTCACCTAAGAACCCAGAAAGGTAGAGGGAAAATTATTTTTATTCCTCTACAGAATATTGTAAGAACGTTCAAACCTGTAAAGAAGTTTTATAAGATTTTGAGCCAAACTGACAATTGGGAAGCAGGATTTCAAATGGTCCTGAGAATGAAAGTTTTGCAGTTTCTTTCATGCATTTAAGATTAAGAAGGGAAAATGAGATTACATGAAGGCAAGGATTGGATTACAGGATAGTTAACAAGATTATGTGCTCTCTTAAGGGTGTTTATTTCAAAGGTATGATAACATAGATGAACAAAAACAGTGGACAGGGCTTGCTTAGGCAAAGATAAATCTTTTACTAAAAAACATTATATACCTGGGGTGTGACTACCCACCATGACCTTCCCAGTTAGGAATTTAGATCAGATCACCCTGAGAGGTCACTTTCTGTGAAACATTTTTCTTTGGTTGATTTTTTTTTTTTTTTTTTTGCCCATAAGAGCAATAGGCTATACCATCTAGCCTAGGTTTACAATAGGCTATACTACGTAGGTTTGTGTAACGAAATCACCTAATGCTGCATTTCTTAGAATGTATCTCTGTCGTTAAGTGGCACATGACTGTACTGTGCTTTGTTCACCATTTTGGGAAATCAGGACACTGAAGCCAGTTCCACTCATGCCATCTGAATCAGCAGTCAACACATCTGCACCTGTCAAATATATAACTGCAATGGGCCCAATAATTTCATGCGTATATTTTATTTAGCTTGTACCTAAAAATAAAAGGTCAAGTGAGAGGCAACAAGCATTTGAGACCCAAAAGAATAGCTATGTGGAAGCACTGATTCAGGCAGAAACCCAAATAGTGTTCTGATTAGGTGAAGGCAAGGGGTATTTATGAGAAAGGGAAGGGGAGCAATTATGTGAATAGAGGGAAGGAATTTCTATGGCTGTAGATAGGGTAACAATGATGC